TCGAGAATGTACATGAAAGTTTGTTTAACTATCGGGATTATTTAAAATAAAATGATCAAAAACAATTTTATGTCACTTTCTCATTACCCAAAAGGAAAAGACTCTTCAATCGTTTAATATTGACAGTAATATCACCAGTTGGAAACAATTTTGCTACGGTCATATGTTAATTAATATTAATTCAACATAGTTTACTATAAATTTGGATAAAATTAAACTTAGCAATTACCTAAATTACAGACGCCTTTCCTGTCTATAAGCCTAATATAGTACCATTTTATCTTTCATATCCAACCGTTTAAATGTGACACATACTTTTTAGAAAAAAGCAGACATATACTTACAAATTTACACAGTGTCCTGCTGTCAATATCCACCGGCTTTTAATAATTGACCCGCCACATATGTGTATCCTATTCCTTTGTATAGCCACCTAAATAATACAGAAACAAAATATACCTATGGGATCGCAATATACGGTAATCACAAATGGTCGCCAAAATTTCATTGGGGAGAGAAGGCACGTGAATTGCATTTGTCCCCCCCCCCCCCTCCCATATTGTTCCACTCTCTACTGATGACGCGTTCACTGTTCGACTGACCCATGCTACTGTGTGGTATTTTGAACGGTGGACACGATGGAGAATGGAGCACTATTTGAAGGAGAAAAAATAGTCGTCTCTCTGTCTCTATCCCAGCGAGATCACGTGGTCATTTGAAAATAAAGTCTACCATCGGATTCCCAGCTATACATTTCTAGCTGTAGTTGGTCAGTAGAAAACATTGGGTTTCGCATGGCTGCAAAATTAGAAACTTGCTTGTGTGATGAACAAATGTGTTTTGTTTTTTTGTGTTATTTGCGCTAATAACTAAAGACGATGATCATTACTTTACTCAAAGAAGACAGTGATGTAAATGTCTTCCATTCGAGTGTTAATATTCACAAGCAGTTCCCCTTCGCTTTCTAACTCAACTGCAAGTGTTAGAGATACCTGTGTCTCTAGGACAAAAGAATTGGTTTCTGATATCGCAGTTACGGTTCAATTTGTAATGTCTTATCTTGGAAAACACAAGGTATGATTTACTGGTTATGCTCCTGTACGCTTTGTAGGCATTATAAAATATTGCCAATGTTTCAATCACTTAAATGGTAATGTTGTTTTGTTCTCGTTTAGTTTTGATAGTTTAGAATCAGTAAATACATACCTGCTATGAATCTCTCACGCCAACACCCTTCACTCCATTGACGTGTCAAGCTTAAAGGGCGGCAGTCGTCGCGCCGCGTTCTGTTCGATATGGGACTCATAGCGACGTATACAACGCGTGTAAAATACATTGTTTATTCACATTCGAACACGCGCTGCGCGACGACCATCACGCTTTAATATGGACAGACATGAGTTATGTAAAACCTCACCTGCCATGGCCAGCTACCGGGCTCAGCCTGGACGCCTCCAACAATATCGGCTCCAACTTCTCCTTCTGGTAGGGTCAATACGGGCTCGATATCTTGGATACCACAATTAGCTGTATTCGCTAGAAAGGTTTAGAAATAATACCGGTGATGTTTGTTTGTTTGTTGGAAAAATTACTTTGTGACGTAATTGTGGTTTTGATAACATGAATTTGTTTATATATGTCCTTAGAACGTTCCACGTATTCCACTTTATACAGAATTCGAATGAAACCTCCCCACGTTTTTAGTCACATTCAGTGGCACCATGAGCAAAGCAAGAAATGTTGTAAAACATGTTTAAATAGCTGCACGCCATTTTAACCGAATTTTAATTCAGCTAAAGTGCCAACAGTCTCTTTGTGAGAATATACTTTATTTTAAATTAATGACATCTTGAATTTGCGAAATTACAGATTAGCTAAATTAGCTAAAAATAACATACTAGCTAAAAAGACATGTTTTACAGTATACACACTGGGAAATAACATTATAAGAGCGGTATATACTACACATTTGCTTTCAGATAATCGAAAAATGGTAACAGACATTAGTAATTTTCATCTCGCTGGTCTTTATAAAAGAGTTATTTGCTGATTATCGTGGTTTGGTTTTAGTAACTAAACAACATGTTACAATATCCGTTTTTTTTATTCGCATTATGTTATTGAACTAAACTGAATTATCACTATTTATCGCACTATTTTTTCATACATTGTTTATTTGCCGTTTGTTTTTTCTTTTGTGGTTTGGTTTTTTGGTCTGTAACTGAATGGGTTATGAATTTCAACATTCATTTGCTGTGATTGTGAGTTCAAATTTATGACTTGGTCAAAATTATGTGATAACAGCCTTTTAAGCGGAAACCGTCAAAATGCATTTTTGTCATGTCGACTTGATTTTTTTTTAATTATCGGTTTTAAATTCGTTTCTGGTTGATATATTAAGACCATAGACTAGAAAGTTCAAAATGATAAACATATTATTTTATAATAGCGAATGTATTAACTTAGAAACTTCCAACAGCCGTTAAAAACAAGTACACATATTTGTTCACCATAGTGTATATATTTTACATATTTGAAAACAAAAATTGTTATAAGTTTGAGACAAGATTAATGTGTTGATTTAAGGAAGAAACTTACACACGGACTGTAGTTTACATATAAGAAGTATGATATATTGTTTGAAGTATTTTACTACTATTGACACTAGCCGAAGTAATTAGGGGCTTCTGCTGGAATGGCGTTGAGGTTGTTTATTCTGATTGTAGGGCTCGGTTATAAACAGGATATGACATATTACACTTTTTATGGGAAATTCTAGTATCTTAATGGCGACTACCATTTACTGGGATATGTATAATAATAATAATAGGTTATGAATTAGGAGTGAAATTCACTTTTAAATGGACATCAGAATAAATACTGTCAGCTTTGTGGATATTGGAATATATTTACCGGTACTAAATACAATAATGAAGCAATTACACGCAATGATTGAATGAACCGACTACTTGTGATTCTTACACTATATAATAGTATATATTTTTACTTACATGGGCAGTTTAGCTCATCGTCTCCCATTGGACAGTCTTGGGCACCATCACAACGTTGGGCAAATGGGATACAGAAACCATTAACATCGTTTCCACAACGATATTCCACTTGTAGCTCACATTCGACTGTAATAGATGTGATGTTTTGAGTTGTTAGATGAAATATGGAACCCAAAAAAACATGGTGAAGGGTTTTTCTGTTGTAATACTTACTTGGTTGGTCACGTGTTTCCCAGTAGGCAGAAAATCCAGTGTACTGGACACTTGAATCCGTGCTGAAAATTACGTACATTACATATCCTGTTCCTATGGTTGGGTTTGGTATAGAGTGACCACATATTTCACGCAGTATTGGGAATGAGTCGTCTCCTCCATCATAAACGACCACCATGTCATAGGAACATTGCAATGACCCCTCGAGGTCGAAATAGTTGAAAAACAGTTCTATAACCTGTAACAAATTATATAGTTTATTGTTATATTATATGCTAATTAGGAAATCAGCATTTGGGAAAACTATCATTTCTGACTAGGCCACATACTTTGGTTAACATGAAGGAAAAAATTATAGACTATTTTCACGGCGTGCGATTTCATTGCCAATATATAAGTCGTAAACTGCCTGTCTTTGCAATACATCGACATTGACTGAGAACAGTAACTGCGCACCATGTCGTAACAACATTGAAGTAGTGTATTGTGATCCGCCGTGTCTTTATATTGACGGAAAAATCCGCACCATAAGATTAAGTATGCCTATATATGTAATCAATTCTGAAAGCGAAATCGAAACCATTTTGAGTAGTATAGCAACATGGTACTTACAAATATGAATATTGACTGTATTTGTCAAGAAGATGTAAAGATCAGTTTTATTCAGATGAAATGAACACTGAAGGTGAATGAGCGGTATCGATGAGAGCAATTCCGCTCACAAATCCTATTCCAAAATTTCGACCCAAAAAAGCCAAATAAATATTCGTTATATTTTCAACTACAAATAATTCCATGAAACGAATACATTACAATAAGCTCATTTCCTGATACATACATACGAAATATGATATCTGGACGTAATATCCGTTGACTGAAAACAACCTTTAGGAAGCGCGATTTCGAACAAACTGTGGGTAATTAGCCATAAAGTAAACTCTGTATTATCGGACGCAAAAATGTTGTTTAATACTTGTTACTAGATGTTTATTTCCTATATAAATTTAGAAGCTTACTATGATTTTGCGCTGATGTGTTTATACAGACTGTTAGTGTTAGTGTTGAGTCACACTTTCTAATTTTACCTTATGTTCAAGATTGTCACGTTAATATCACGTGGTCGTGAATAAGTATTGCCATGAATATTGGTAACTAATTGTTCACTCTAACCAAATGACATATGTAAAAAGGAAAAGAACGTACCTGACCCTGGGCCTCAGATGTCTCTAATACCCAGTCACACATCGCATTAGGATCGTACTTGACATTTGCTTCTGGATCAAAATTCATCGATGTGAACGACCCAGAGAATCCATATTGGAAATGATCATTTCCACAACCAGAATCTACAACAAACAAAAGCATTATTTTACATACAATAATATGTCAGTAACAACCAATAAAAATCAGTAAATGTAAAAGTGAAACAACTTACGTGAACAAAACTTTTAAGTGATTTTTTTTCATGATTATATATTTTTAGCCAACAGTATTATTTTCGACTTGTAGTAATCGGGGCAGACCTCTTTCAGACCTTTGTTCATTTCGTAATTATATCTTCAATTTTGTGCAATTTCTGATTATTTTTAGGCCGATCTTCTGTGTAGCCTGTTGATGTGGTATCATTATCTTCAATTTCCTATTTTTAGTGATTTTTTAAAATGTTTTGGTCGAAATCATAATTTTTGGGACCGTCACACAGATTGCTTTTATGTCACCCATAAAATTTTCCGGCAAAAATGCATTTTCAAGAATGCTAGATTGAACGCGTGAAGGTTCATTATTGGTTGAAGATAGTAATTTGTCCAAGAGGGGTAGATTGACTAATGTATCTGCAAATGGGATCAGAAAACATCTCAAATGCTGTAATTTTATGTCATATTGACTTTATATTTACTATGCAGGTACATGGGCTAATACTGTGTCTTGTAGATGTTGTGGTTTTGTTTTTTGATTATTTTTATGTATTTTTTGGTTGAAAACTAAACTTTTGAACTTTATATATGGCGGCTCGGTATCTGGGCTGGTTCTCTGCGTGACAGAAGCACCAAAAGAATGTACACAATTCAGTGATCACCCACATACGGCATTGAGTAACTATACATTGCATGCTAACAACAATTTTATAATTTTAGCTACATGTACATCTTGGCCTTGACACACTTGACCAAGTATAGTATATTATACTTCTAATTGGCTAATGTTGTAATTACCAATGAGCGTCAGGCCTACGGGCCAATATTTCATGGATAAGAACATGTTTCTCGACTTGTGATGCCATAATATTACTGCCTTTATTATATGTGTGGTTGCTGTTTTAATGCTTTGTCGTTTTATTTTAATATTCATGAAATTCATTCATTGAATATTGATCGATTGAGCCATTGAGTCTGTTGTTCAATATTGGTAATCAAATTCATTCCTTAAATTCCCTAATAATCTCAACAACGTTGAACATTTCCCATGAAATGCAGCTGCTAATAAAATAATAAACTGTAGACTTGAATTATGGAACAAATATTAATATAAACATTCCAGGAAGGAGGTGTGTCTTTCTGGTTGGCATATCAACAGAAAGTAGTAAGTCTGTCTGGTTGGTGGCATGTCAGCATATGAAATTGAGTCTGTCTGGTTGGCATATCAAGAGCAAGTAGTAAGTCTGTCTGGTTGGCATGTCAGCAGATGGAGGTGAGTCTATCTGTCTGGTTGGCATGTCAGCAGATGGAGGTGAGTCTATCTGTCTGGTTGGCATGTCAGCAGAAGGAGGTGAGTCTATCTGTCTGGTTGGCATGTCAGCAGAAGGAGGTGAGTCTAACTGTCTGGTTGGCATGTCAGCAGATGGAGGTGAGTCTATCTGTCTGGTTGGCATGTCAGCAGAAGGAGGTGAGTCTATCTGTCTGGTTGGCATATCAACAGAAAGAGGTGAGTCTGACTGGTCGGTATGTCAGCGTAAGTAGCTGAATCTGTCTGAGTGGCATTTCAGCGGTACGTGTGATTGTATGAAAATCGTAGTTTGCACTATAAAAACAGAAATTGTGTTACATCAATAAATAGTTGAAGAGTGAATGGTTTGCATATAGTATATATTATTTTTTTTCAATGTTGATTTTATTTCCAAACGTATGTCTACGTATTAACTATCGCCATGTGACTTTGATACTAAACGAGGCACTAATATGACAACGTACGTATTCTGCCAAAATTCATCTATCCTCGGGGGCGGACATCCGGGCATTTTCACCGCCTGGCAACCCGCGGCGGTGAAAACAAAGGCCCAAAACTCGCAGAAAACGATACTTTGGGATGATTGTTGAGACTCCTCTGAACAGTGGAACAAGATTAGCCCTACGTGTGTAACATATATAAATTTGGTTGTTCGGAATTACTTCAAAGTTGAGTTTGTGTTGTTTTCTCAAATTTTCACCGGCTCGACCGGCGTTCCACAGCAGCGCGCACAGAGCCCATAGAAATGCATGGTACAGTGGTGCGCGTCTTAGCAACGTGGAACGTCTTGTGACGTAGCTCCGCCCCCGAGGATACTTATATATGTATATACTAATAATTGTTTATAGACCGCCGCCTTATTATTTGGTCGTCTGAAACAACACCCAATAATGAAACATTCAAACTGCCAATGTATATGTAATTAGAATATCCAAGTACCGGGGATCCGAAAGCTAATACTTTTGATTAACTTACCTCGTTGCTGTGCCAACGAAAGAGCCCACAGGCTAACAAACACTACCCACAAGCTGTGCATGATGAACCTTTGATAATTGTGCTAAACTCTAAGAATCAACCTATAAGTATTTATACGTTTAGCCAAAATCGAGAGAGGTTATCGTTACATGGGTAAGCAGAAAGAGAGCACGTGTGTGTTATCTGGTCGAACGTGCCTTCAATCATTGTACGTCAGACCTTGGTGACGGCACATTACACACGACACGCTTGTTTACAACAATGGACAAAATAGCGTGTTAAATCTGTTATAAACAGACATGGGAATTTCTTTATAATATATATATATATATATATATATAAATATACGTGCATGTTAATTTTCGAAAACATAATATATTAATTTGAAATCTGTTCTAGCTTGTAGATATATTGCGTGAAATCTAAATATGAAATGGCCTCTGTTCATGCGTCTTTACTTGAACTTGTTTCATTTTGTTAACATTGTTTTGTCAGCAAAATGTATAATTAAATACATATTTATATAATAATGGCAGTTGTATTGATAAGTAACTCTATGCAGTCTGTTACTGTTCTCACCACAGTTTTTCATTTCAGCTGATTCCAGTTTACTATAACTATAATTATATCACTGTAGAAATATATATTATCGTGTCACAAGAAGTACATGCTAGCTTAATCAATGTGTAGATTCTATTCCCAGCAATGGGTAGTTATACGCTCTCTTTGTATACAGTAAAACTCTGTGAATCAAATCTACTGTATCCACGATCGTAATATTTTTATTTGTAATATTTCAGCAAAGCTTTTTACGATATGATCCGTTTTTTCTCAAAAATGCTTCGCTTAGCTGGTGGCCTAAAAAGATGGATATGTACTTTTAAAAACAAATAGTTCATGCTCTATTTCAAGTCTGAGTTTCAACAGCTGCCAATGAAAGCCACAGTTGGGGTGGGCGACGCATTTGGCATATTAATCTCTCATATCTCTCAATGCTTTTTATCACATGATAAATACAGTATAGGTGTGGAATAAGAATTATAGCTGCGTGTGCGCCCAAGATAACCAGAGAGGGGCAAAGGGTGAATATTATGACGAAAACACTTTATATTAAAACCAGACAAATTTCAAAACGCGTGCATTTATGAAGAAGTCTTTTTTTCCTAATTTGCATTTCATTAATTTATAAAGCATTTACGATTGATCTGTCGTGCATGGTTAAGATGTAAGGCAAGAAGTAACACATAATCAGGACGGTAAATGTTTTTTTTTAATAATATAGGGAGTCTCGGCCACCTATGTCTTATTCTATTGTACACCCCATTTATATAAATGAAGCATAAATATTGTTTGTTATTATATTATTTTTCATCAATATAATTATCATGACTTGCAGGACACTACCTAATTTTCCAATGTTCGGATTACTGCTCGTCGAATCACAATCGCTGCCCCACTAAGTAGGTTTGTGCAGTGCCCCGTTTGTTTAGTTTAAGACTTGGTAACAACGCATGGTAATTTCCTCGCCACCCAAAACATTTAGAAATAGTGAGTTCAAATGTTCACATTTATAACGACCTGCTTGCTCTGGATTTTCTTCAAATAAATTCTAACCTAATGTTTGATATCGAGGTATAATGTAACATGTAGATTTCGTGCCGCCTAATTAGCCATTTATCAAATAAGCCATACTCAAACATGAAAACAGTGCATATATTACACTATGTTATATACTGTATAATGAGTCATTCCAAGGGTTATGAAGTATATAAACAGATTGACTAGTTTAACAAGATCAGTATATTAGTGTTATAAACTGTGCTTTTTTTCTGCAGGCTTATGTTAAACACGTAATTATTTTATTTGAGACTGAGATGTTTTGTCGATCAACCTCGATTTAAAAATTTAGAAAAAAATCCTAGTTCCTAAAGAGATTGTACAGTATGCATTCCTATTTTGGTGTCCTTATTTGCATATTTGCCTTCTGATCATTATCTATTAACCTAAATTTTTGTCAGAGTACAGTACAGTATTGTAATCTTTCTTGTGGTCTGTTCATACTAAGGGACAGGTTAATCTTGTTCGGGTGGCATGCAATATTTAAATGTATCAACAATCTTGCTTAACCTTGGTCGCTATGCCAGTTCAACTTGTGTTTAATGTTCAAAACTTTTGGAGGCGAACAGGAAGACGATGATGGCTAAATTGGCTAAATATTTTATCATTAGTTGGATGTGGGTGAAATTTGAAACACATATACTTTTGGATGTAATCCAGGTCAAATTTTGCTACAAATCCGTTTCAGCAATTCAAATGGATTGAAATTTAGAACATGCATGCTGTTTGATACTTACAATTAGGCTAATTAGGCTGCATATGGTAATTACTTACTTTAAATATTAATTAACTACTTTCAGAATGTTTTGTAGACATGCTAACAACTGTTTTGTCTTATTACATGCTTTTTTTTTGTAGTTTTTGTAATTAACTCAATTTAGCATGTTTTGTTGATCTTCTGAAAGTTGGCTCAAATAGGTTAGAACTTTTCTGTAAGTGTCTAGCTTTACTTCGTAATTACTCTGCATATGGGAATTAGCTTAATTACTAGTAGCATACAAGTACTTTTTTCAGCATGTTTTTGGATATCCTATTAACGATTTGAGTTACAACTTTATACATGCATACTGTTTGTGTTGTTGAATGCCTAACACTACTTTGCAATTAGTTAGCTAATTTGCATACTAATTACCTGAATTAGTTTGGAATCAATCAATAAATAGAATTGTATGTTAGTAATTAAAATTAACATCACAAATATTGAATTTACATATAATCACTTACCAGCATATCAGTCTCGTGTCTGTATATATGTTGATTTAATGTCGTATTATTTTTGTTTTAAATGCATGATCTGGATCTAATAATACATATAAAAGGTGAAACTCAAGGGATGATATAAATAAAGTCCAACCATCTTGTAGAAGATTTGTAAACATTTTTGATGTTTTCACACAAAAAAGATGGAGAACAAAGTTTTAACTGGTTTTATAATGGTAGTACATGCCATAAACAAATCAGGTTGTCTATGCCTCAGTGCGTAAATACCACTTTCCTGTTTAATTTCAATTAAAAAAATAAAACTGTTATGTCATTTATTTTTACTTTTTGACCTCAGAGGCTTGATGTCAGACATCAACCTAGCTCCACGTGTTTGTGGAGAATGGATATCAAATCTATCGATCAATGTAGTGTATCTTTTCGCACAGGAAGTGTGATCCAGAAAATAACGGGTTTTAGCAGTTAAAACACATGCGCGTTGATTGTGGATACTAAATATATTTGATCGGCCCTAACTGTATTGTAGCATGATACAATTGTAGAATAAACCGCATCACTAAAAGTGTAGTATTACGTGTAGTAATTGGTTCTACATTGCAATGACTAGGGGCAATTGAACGACAATAAACTTAGATACTTGTGTGACTTAAATATATTTACATTATTTCAACTCTTTAAAGTTTACGATTGTCAAGTACACATTAATCTTAAACATTCTGTGAAACTTTGAATTCTTTACTTTAAGTATTTCTCTTAGTGGAAATGACCTTACATAGTGTTTTACATGATTTATTAGACCTGCAAATACTTTGTAAATAACTTTTCTGTCTGGTGATTTCATGTGCTCCTTGAATACATATCACACTGCTCACATATATTGGAAAGTACTTGAAATCATCCTATAAGTATATAAGTGACTTGTATTTTTGATCATGTTTCGATCTATGGCACATCAAGTAATTTAACTCATCGCACAGGCCAGCATCTGGGGTGTCACCAAAGTCGATCGAGTAAACTTAGGCTTTAGAAAAGCTAAGACTTGAGTTGCATCACTTGACTAGGAACTGGTCGCTAAAGTAAAACTAAGTCCCTCACGCATTGAAATATTTTGCCTCAACGAAGGGTGATTATGCAACATAGCAAATACTTTTTTATTTCTAGGCACTCAGCAAAAAATTCAATTTGAAACAGCTTCAATAACCCTTACAGTGCCTAATTTTTCCAATACCTATCACATTGTGTTCACCCTCAGAATTATGTTAGTAGTTAAACAAAACAAAACTAGTAGCATTTAAACATTAATTGACAAACCACATTTGATTTGAGGTAGGTACGAGGCAAAGATCTGTCCAATCATGTGATTTGTTAGAGCAGATAACTGGAATACTTCTATTAGTGCCATGTGTGGTGATTGATAGTTTAGAAGCAAAACCGAACAAGCTCTTGTTGTCAAGGAAACCAAGAATATACCCCATCCCAGCTCCATGTTCATATAACTACAATAATTTTAACCGTCTTTACCACCATATAAATATCTTGTTTAATGCCAAAAACGCCATTGTAAAAATACGTCATGAAGTCGAAATATTTAGTTTTCCAATTTTGTAAAATATCAAACTACGCAATTGAAGCTAACTTCCTCAAAAGTCAACAACATTAAACAATTACATCGCTGTGTTGCTCACCGGCTAACAATTAAATTTTAGCAACAAAACTTGTTCAAACCTTAAAGTAAAAGGAGCTACACAAAACAGTATTGTCTTTAAAATGTCAGGTCAAATGTTTTCTGAGACTTTATAACTCAATTATAATCAAGCAGCACTAAAAAAAACAATTCCATTTTGTAAGCCAAGGTTTATTTATTTCAGTCTTCATTATTAATAATGCTAACATCAAATCGACAAAGTTACCTCCATCAAAATCCTGTATATAAAGTTCCTTTATTTCCATCGCTAAAATTCAAAAAAATATATAAGAAAGATATAATATAATTTCAATAACCCTAGGGTCTATCACACAATATTCCTAGTGGCTGAAGCCATGTCGATCACATGTTTACTCAGTTACACAACTGAGTTTCTTGGGGGGGGGGAGTGTAATATTTTGTAAGATATAAAACACTAACATTTCTTTGCAGTTAGGACACCAGTAACTATTTCATAGGTTACAGAAGTCCGTAGACACTGGACGAATTGCTGTATAACACATGGTCTGTAAACCCACACGTTTGATTTTGTTAAGATGAAACTTACAACGGATGAAAGTACATACAACAAATAACACATCGTCCTTGATTCAATCCTAAGCTTAACAAATAGAATTAATTACTTCATTGTATCATACAAGTGAGCGATCAGAGTAACAAACACACCGCAATTTTAAATCAATTCAACAAAACTCACTTAAAGCGCAGTAGTCGTCGCGGTGCGCATGTGCGACCTTTGTGTTGATAAACATTGATTTTCCCATAATCCAATGCGCTTTTCAAATGGAAATTACAAGTATGAGGTTTGAGCTGGGCGCGATTTACACTGATTACCACCGGTAATTCTTTCGATACCTTCCAGCATATGAAAATTACCTAATTAAAGCTTGGAAATGTCTCAGTCCGTACTTGTTGATCTGTGCAACAGTCAAAGTCGCCATCTTTGTTTATATGGGACCCATATATCTCGCACATGTGCAGCGCGACGACTACCGCCCTTTAATGTGACGCTTCACGTAGCCAATGCTGTGTGTCCTACGTTAAAATAACATCACCACACGACTCTGTGGCTTATTTATTGACAACATTTCAGTATACGACTGGGAAAGGTAGTGCGAAGTGATATCCTGGGAATGTAATTCCAATTAAAAAGAGAACAGTTTCCGCTACTTTCAGCATTGATTGTTTATAACCGAATACATTACAATTACGCAGGTACATTTAAATTCATATATTTCTTTATTTGAATCTGTTGTTTAATTACTAACATAGGTAATCTGTTTCAATTTCTTAACCACCCATCATAATACTTTGAACCCAAGTGAGCACGCTATCCACATTGCCATAGAGACCGGGCATACCCGATGTGCCACACTGTTCCCGCCGAGGACCCACGACACCAACGAGAACCCATTTATCGTTTGGTGCGTTGTACCATACCATTGGGCCACCATTGTCCCCCTGGAAAAGAAACAACATCGTTATTACCACAAATTAATACAACAACACTGTCAAACAATCATCGATCGAGAGACTTGCATAATAGTTGTACAGCTTTCATCATTAAATTTGTTTAATAAATACTATATAAACCAAAATCGTGAGAATACTTTTACTTCCCAGTACGTAGCTAAACTTGACATTTCAGATAATTACTGCAATTTTCATTTTCATAACGTATTCTCGCTCAGACCGAAATTTCACCCATAATTCTTGGGATACATATGCACGTCCATTTTGTTCACGATCCGATTCAAAACGGACGAATGATTCAAACTTGGTACACACATGTGAAAAATTATATTATTTTAAATCGATCGAATTCAAAATAATTTCCATTTGGCTGCTTTATTTTAACGAATACTGTTTTGGAGCCATAGCTTAGACATGCTTAGACCGATCATGTTCAGCTTCTTCGAACATGATACATTTAGTCACACATGAACATAAATTCGTTTTCGCATTAATGATGACAGCAGTTATAAATATTCGATGTCAGAACTAACAGTTAACCAGTATACATACTTGACATGCGTCTATCGTTCCATCTACGGAGCCAGCGCACATTAAAGTCTCTGTAATAGCACCGTCGTGCATACTTGGCTGATTGCAGAAATCGTCATCATAAATAGTGACCTCCGTCTGCTGTAGTACTGTAGTCCCAATATCATCAACTGAAAGAAGTATCATTAAACGAGAATAGCTTAACAATATTGAATTGAAACTCAACACAGCAAACTACCACATAACACCGAGAACACTATTTTCTCCTCATATTTTTTCTTCTAAGTCGAACAAATTATAATGAAAGTAGAAACTAAGACTCTTCTTACTTTCAATACGCATGGCACCGACAGCATCTTCGCCCCAGCCTGTGACCCAAGCTTTGGTTCCATTTGGGTAATTTGCTCCTTTAGGGGCCAGGCAAATATCGTGAGCAGCGGGATTTGCTGTTATATTTATCGGGACTCTCATTTTTACCATAGCAAAGTTGTATTCATCTTTAAACATATCAAAGGTTGGGTGTACAAATATCTCATCCACAGCATGGACTTCTTCATAGGGATCAACTTGCGAGTAGATATGGTTCCCAACGATAATATCAAACAACTGGGGATTCAGTGCATCACTACAAAAACATATAAAAGAATTATCATGGCATTTATTGTCAGTGAAAATATTACAGGTGAAGTATAACAAAAAAGGAACATGAATTGGGTAAATATATTATTTACAATTTTTTTTACGCTAAATTGCATTACAATATTCAGGAATTCTGTGGATTTCGTTTAATAATTAAATATGCAGGAATGTGTTTTGCTTCTCTGTATTTTACTTGTGATTGGTTGAAAAGTGTGTGGAGATTGTAGAAAATATGCAGTTGTCAAAAGAAAATAGGTAAGTTAATCACAACTGCCTAATGAATGAGTGCGTAATTTGGCGTAGTTGGCTCACTTGTGAGAGTTCGCTGGTTCCCGGCGTCCCTTGCGAATGGCAAGAAGAACGCAGGTACTAGTAATCGCCATATTGTTTCACTGGGCCGGGATTCGGGCCCAAAGTCACGTGACTGAGTAACGTAATTTGAAAACATTCCAAGACTAGCATATTTGAGATGTTTCTGGCATTTCTCGCTGTTTCTGTGCAAATTTATAACAAAAAAAACAGTTTTATATTCGCCCAACTCCCGAGAGTAAAAGGAAACCCCTGCTCTCGGGCCACGAGCGTAAGCCCTGACGTCAGGTAACCAAGGGAAATAGAACAAGAAACGAAAAGTAACGAATCAATCAGAATACCGGAACCTTTACCAGTTATCGGCCTTTTGTGGCTTGGTACGCCATGACACTTGGCGGGAACCAGCCAATTGTGAGAGTTTACTATAGAACCAGAAAGAGGCACTGGCTTTTCCTCGCTGTGAACACATCATGAACAAAATGTCGCGTATTACTACAATTGTGCTCCAATTCGTTTAAAAGTGTCTAATTTCATTGCAACAAAACCTTTTAAAACTTGTTTAACACCTTAAAAATAAAAATATCAATCTTTTTCTTATTCAAAACATCATGCTATTTTTGCCATGTAAAACATCGACACCGAAGCTCTGTATTCCCGTACATCCCCAATTCACTGATATTGGTGGAAACGACGTAGAATAAATCTACTGTTACCATAATTGTTACATAGAGAGTGAGTGTAGGAGACAGTAATAAATAAATAACGACCGAGACCATTTGTAGATGTGTCACCACTGAACACGGTTACACTCATTTCAGAAACGATAAAAAGTAGTTTGAAAATACGAATAGCAGAAAATACACATGTTAAATACAAACAATAGTTGCAGACTTTTGTTGAACGAAAAATTATAGTCATGTTTACTAATTTCGATTGTTGTCTTTAAATGGGACCTCATTGTCTGCCTCACTCACAGACCATCAGTTTACGTGGTGTTGTAGAATACATTTTCTATGTTGTTGTGTTCCCTACCTCCCAATCATGATAATAAAATCCCTCACCATGTGTAAAGTGCATGTTGACTTTTATACGTGATGTATGAGTGTTAATGTTTGCTGTGGAACAGCTGCGAGAGGGTCGTCACCTATGCACGCGCGGGAATTGAGTTCCAACGCGAATGCTCGTGGGTAGACGCTTGTTTGTAAACAATGACACGTTATGGCCATCTGCGGCATGCGCAGGTGACGAATCCCCCGCTTTATACAAAATAATACTCACGATTGAACGCAATGAGCAGCTGTCAAAATCCAAAAAGGGTCTAGAAGAATCCCACCACATTGATGAGTGAACATCCGCTGAATGGCTACCTGTAATTACAAAATAAATGAAGCACAATGTCTGAACAAGTTTGGTTATTGGTCGCCTGTAAATATCATATGAATATATTAATGTGGCTAGTCTAGTTTTATAGGCATCGGTTTCAATAAATTTCAAATACCCCGGTGAAAAAGTACATACTTACAAACGGACACGAAAATTAGCTATATATGCCTTGAAGCGCTTTTGATTCGTAAAACATGGCCTATGTTGGTTCAGGTCATGCCATGAAACGTAACATTCTGACATTCTTGCATTGTTTCTTGCGTTTTCAAGGTATTTTAGCAGCAGATCATACTTTACCATGGGAATTGAAACTATATATCTAGTCGTAGCATATCATCGGTGTCGTCATAACTATGTATGTTATACGCTATGATAGTAAAACTGCACCAATGACCACAAAAAATACCCACCTGCCACGGCCAACTATACGGCTCTGCCTCGGTACCTCCAGTTACCTGCGCACTAACCGGATTCAACACAGGGTCAATGGCAGGTTGCCCACAAGTTGCAGAATTTACTGAAAACAACAGTGAATACGCTCAATTATGTTGCAAGTAAAATTTAAACGAATAGATAATTTTCCGTTCACTACGAGATCTCGCACAAAGAGTGAAAAGATAGAACAATAAATTAACGAGTAGGTGGTTTAATCTCTCAATCGTTAGGTTATACTTGTATGGTGCTGGTAAGGTGATGATTTACGCCAGTTCTATCGCTGCATTGACACGCAGATCGCCGCAAACCAACCGAATGTGCTGAATAGCGCCACCTGTGTTGACACAATGCTATCGCTGTATATAATAAGCCATTTTTCGCAGGCTGCGAGATCACGCAGTCATGTGATACAGGTCAAGCTTCCAGTTTAATATGGTAGCAACCACATTGTCCTACGCGTTGTAAACCTCATCTCGAAACAATATCTGTCCCAATGGGAGTCAAACGGTACGCTTACGGCGAATGTAAGAGTGATTCTCGCTTTCAATACAAACATTATATGAATGCTGTTTTTTTTGTTTTTTTTGTTTGTTTTTTTGCGATTCCCTAAACTAAAAACGCAGTCTGAAAAGTGCGATTGATGGTTCAGTGCCTGTTCTCGGGCAGACAGTTTTGGTCGACACAGAAAAATCCAGGACATGTACATGTACACTTGTTTCCTGCACTTTGCGGGAGCAAAGGGTCCTTCGGAGTCGTATCCAGACCCAACAACAGCGATTGCGAGAGGTGTCGAACGCCGTATATTCAAGTCGAAGACATCGCCGAGTGGCAATCAAAAGAAGCGCCGGAAAACATTGAAACCTGTTGATACGGTTTAACTTTCTTTTGCAAGTTGTACTGATCGGAACTTTACCGTGCCGTGCCGTGCCATTAATATTTATTTTTCAAAATTTTATGATCGTGTATTTTATTGCGATCCCGAAATTGCTTTACAATTTTTATTAACTCATAACAACCTACTGAAGGAGGTTAAAGGTTACAACAACAACAAAAATTACAGAAAAATATTAATCAAATTACAATGGCTAATAGTTTAAAGACAACCAAAAACAGACTAAATTGAAGTTAGTAACGGAAATATATAATAAAGTAAAATGAAACACCAACAACAAACTATAAACTGAATATAAAAACAAAAACCCAATGAATAGGTTTTTAAAAAAAAAGTTAATGACTAAGTAGGTGCTGCTGTCTAATAGCAAACCTGTATTTCAGATATTGTGCCAGAGGAATTGCTAAGTTATTATTTGACATTATTTTTATGAATTTATTTTCAGGTGTGAGATTAGTATGCTTTACCATGGGATTGACCATTTTATTGTTATTTACAACTCACAAGTGTACATCTTAAATTGTCTTATCATTAGTATCCCGATGAAAACTAGATTCCTGACAACACTGTTACCTCAGAATTTGAAAAGGATTTCAATGCGAATATCTATGCATTTAATGATAACAATACTAGTATTGCCACAGTTAGGGAATACCTCTCCTGACAAAGCGCTAAGCCTGAATGTGAACTAATTATATTACTAAGCGCAGAATTAAATTGTAATACTAGTATTTAATACTTGTACAATTTAATACTCATACTATCGGGTTTTAATAATAGTTTTATTCAACTTCCCTTCTATGTCGAAAAGTTGTGAATTTTTAAGCTATGTATTTTTAAAGCATGCTTGTTGTTTACAATATTGACAGTTTCCTGTTATTTGTATTGATGCTTGTGTGTATCATGCCGTGTCGACAGATTGTTGTTATCCATATAAACTAATGTGTGAATCGTGCAATGTTGGCCGTTTTCCGATATGTTAGGAACTTCAAAAGCTGTTCACGCTAGTAATGGTGAAAGTAGCAGTAATGTGAAATATGTGCCTTTGACATGTGATGCTAGTACACATACAAATGTTACATTTGAACATGCCCGTCGCCAAACAACTTGAAATCTTCGCACGATTTGTAGGCCCTGAGCTTCTCCCGGTCATAGTCGAACCGATAACGCATTAAACATCGGAAAAACCGAATTCTGGAACATTCCTGAAATCACTAGAGTAGCCTGGTAATTTCAAAGGATCGATGAAATTGCAACCAAGTTTGTTAAGTCTTGAAGCGACGAATTGTTTTAGGATCATGTCGTAAAAAATCAGGGTCTTCCTCGAGCTACAAATCGTGCACAGCTTTAGTGATTGCAAGAAGTCTTTGAGCTGTGGCACGGTCATTCTGTCGAAGACAGCCATGGTCGAAAACGTGAAACAAATGCAATAAATCACTCGAAAATGTAATGCACGACACTAGGTACACAAACGATTTAGCGCTATTTTGATTCAAAGCTTGACCTGTATCACATGACTAGCAACCGGTTGCTAGGCAAATTTAACGGTCTCGCAAGATCTCGTCCAAAGCGAAAAATAGCCTATTGGTCAACTTCTTTTAAAGCTGTTTGTACCGAAATCCCGCGAGATATTGCAAGTAGGTAACTTTTTGCTGTCAAAAACTTTTACCAAATGACATTGAAATTTGCAAAATGTTACATTGAAACTTTAGCGGGTAAAATTCAGGCATTCAAAGAGTTAAAATAAAGACAGATGACGCCAAAGGCGTGTTGTATGTTCAATATGATGGATACAATATGGCACGTCTAATAGTGTCAACAATTAATCCAACAAAGACTCACTTGGGCAACTCAGCTCGTCCTGTCCATTGGGGCAGTCATCGACTTGATTGCATCGGTTTTCAAATGGGATACAATATCCATTCTCATCATCACCACATCGGTAGCCTACTCCAACTTCACATTCGACTGAAAAAGACACGACTTTATCAAATCATAGTCACCAATACAACGGTGAACCGCTCATGGCGACGGGACAATTTTCAAATATAAACAAACTGTGGCCGTGCATTCAATACACAAACACATAATATACTTGTTCACACAGAAGTGTTTTAGTTATCGTGTAAAGATCAGTGTGACCTTTAAACGGCAGTCGTCGCGCTGCGCATGTGCGACATTTGTGTTGATAAACATTGATTTTCCCACAATCAAATACGCTCTTCTACTATGGAAATCACAAGTATGAGGTTTTACCTGGGTGCGACTTTCACTAATTACCACCGGTGACTCCTTCGATACCTTGCAACCACCTAAAAATACCCAATTAAAGCTTCGTAACGTCTCAATTTGTACTCGTTGATCTGCACATCAGTCAAAGTCGCCATCTTTGTTTATATGAGACCCATATATCTCGCGCATACGTGGCGCAACGACTACCGCCCTTTAAATGATGACTGGTCATCAATTAAAGCGTCTAAATTATCTCACCTGGTTGATTTCTTGTTCTCCAGGTAGCACTGAATCCAGTATAGGCGACGCTGGAATCTGTAGTGAACAGGACGTACATGATATGTCCTGTGCCGACGGTTGGATTTGGGAGATTGTGGCCGCACATAGTCCTGAGAACGGGTGCTGTGGTATCAAGTCCGTCGTATGCAATCACTGAGTCATACATACAATTAACAGAGCCCTCTACGTGGAAGTAGTCGAAATCCAATTCAATAACCTAAAAGATAGTAATGTCGTCGTTGTTAATAATGCATTTCACAAAAAATGCCTGTGGTGTGTGATCCCTGTTAGCGACATTGACTTGATCGCAGCAAGTGGATGAGTATCTCTCATAGACAAATTAACAACAACATTGACCTTTGGCTGCCAACAACCAAATTATTCAGTTGTTTCTGAAACTCGTGTTTGTTATTGGCTTCCATTCGCAGTACATAGGTCATTCAAATCATTGGCCACAAAGGCTGTAGTCGATGCCGCTAACACAGTCGATGAGTTAGCACGTTAAGAAAATCAGGAAGTCACTGTACATTGCTAGAGAGTTGAAAGTATCTTTATCGGAGTGACATTGATATTAAAATCAGATTATTGGAAAATGTTACCCTTACAATAATACTGTTATATGTTTTGTTTTTTTTTATTTTTAGCCCCCTCCCCAAAGAGAGACGTGAATTGTTATATCTTATGTCACTTTCAACAATATCGACACACTGTATCACTACTACACGTATCACAAGTAGCATGATCTTCATTCGTTTGTAAATAATTTCCTCTTATGTACTCACAATTTTTCGATTTGAAAATTCTATGCTATAAAAATGTTGCATTTATTTAATTCAGCCACTTTCAGGTGAGCCAATATTATGATATGAGATTACACAATGATATATCCTTACAGCTTTCCTCTTCGAATGTCACTGTTCTTGACACATGCGTACTTTATGTAGGGTCTCTTCGAATAATTATATTATTGAAATTCAACTTTCTATAGGTGTCCAACCACCACCCAATGTTGTACAAAATAATACAATCATTGCTTACAATAGCTTGTGGTGTAAGAAGAAATATTTTTTGGAGAGCTAAAAGCCGAAACTCATAGCATTTCAGGCGGTCGTTGGTCACAGCTGAATCATAGCTAATTACGAAGAAAATGTGTTTGTGTAAAGCTCTTAAACGTCAATCTTTGTTTCTATATAGCAGTATGAATTAATAGTATTAAGTATGTATTTATTTTAATTGTTAAAAATTAAGGAATCGGGTTAATTAATGACAAAAATTAATAACAGTTTCTCGCATGCAGGAAGAACGGGGGCATCACCTGCCAAACGTCTTTTTTTCCAACTTATGGCATCTATTTGAATCGTTAAGAGGTTGATCACAACAAAACTTTGGACGTAATTAAGGTGAATCAGGTTTAATTACAACCTGATTAAAAGCTGTGTTTTCCTGCCTGTAGATCATCAGCTCTTGCAATGATACGCAATATTTCCTTCATACCACATTTGTTGGTATTTGGATACCTAAATATGGCTATATTCAACTTTCGATGAATGGTGCGTAATTCGACGAAATGGTCTTTGGACGAAATTAATTTGATATACTACTCCCAAGTGTGCATGTGTATAGTTATGCATTGCAAGATCGTTTTCAAGTAAGGTTAAAGCGCGGTAATCCGGTCGCGCTGCGCGTGTG